CATCGCCAAAGAAAGAGCTGAAAAAGAAAGGCTGGCGAAAGAACGCATCGCCAAAGAAAGAGCTGAAAAGGAGAGAATAGAAAGGGAACGTATCGCAAAAGAAAATGCCCGAAAGGAGAGGCTGGAGAAGGAACGCATCGCCAAAGAAAGAGCTGAAAAAGAGAGAATAGAAAGGGAACGCATCGCCAAAGAAAGAGCTGAAAAAGAGAGGATAGAAAGGGAACGCATCGCCAAAGAAAGAGCTGAAAAAGAGAGAATAGAAAGGGAACGCATCGCCAAAGAAAGAGCTGAAAAAGAGAGGATAGAAAGGGAACGCATCGCCAAAGAAAGAGCTGAAAAAGAGAGATAGAAAGGGAACAAAAGAGAGATAGAAAGGGAACGCATCGCCAAAGAAAGAGCTGAAAAAGAGAGGATAGAAAGGGAACGCATCGCCAAAGAAAGAGCTGAAAAAGAGAGGATAGAAAGGGAACGCATCGCCAAAGAAAGAGCTGAAAAAGAGAGGATAGAAAGGGAACGTATCGCAAAAGAAAATGCCCAAAAGGAGAGGCTGGAGAAAGAACGCATCGCTAAAGAAAGAGCTGAAAAAGAAAGACTGGAGAGGGAACGCATCGCCAAAGAAAAGGATAGAATCGCCAGGGAAAAAGAGAGGGTAGAAAAAGAACTAGTAGCCAAAGAAAAGGAGAGAATGGACAGGGAACGCATCGCCAAGGAAAGGGCAAGACTTGCTCAGGAGAAGGAGAGTATTGAAAGGACAAGACTGGAGAAGGAAAGGACGGAGAAAGAGAGAATTTCAATGGAAAAGGCGCTGATGGAAAGGCAGAGGCTTGCTAGAGAGAACGCTGCTCGGGACAAGATGGAGGCGGAGAGACTGGCAAAGGTAGAAGTGAGGAAACCAAACTCTTCCCAACCAAAAGCTCCAACAGCTGAGGAAAAAAGTGAGGGACCAGTAGTAAGAAAGGCAGTGGAAGGGAAATGTGCCGTGAGTGCAAAGAAAAAATGACCCCAAGAATCAAGGTTTCTATTTCGTAAATTAAGCTAGAAGATCGGGAGCGGGAGGGAGGGGAGGATCGTTCCCTTTTTGAAAAAAATATAAACTGTACATTTGTGTCATCACTGAGCAGGTCAACTTTTATATCCTGTGCTTCTCTAGTGTAACTACCTATGGAAATACAACCTGCTGATTGGTCTGATTTCTACTCTAATCTTTTCAGTATTCAACATCCTTTTGTAGATTTGATGATTTTAAATCTGGAAGAAAATCCTGAAATGTGTTTGGCAGATTTCTACCCAGTTTCTATTCCGTTGCATGTTTGGTTGATTTGGTTTTATTTGGGTGAGGATATCAGCTAAAGCAAGCAAACCCTATATCTCATGATGCAAGCGTGAATATGTTTTTTTCTGAAAAAGAGAGG